GGCTGAAACTTTAAGTTTCAAGGACGATGTTTATTGGTACATGGATACCTTGAACATGACTCGTTTTTATGACATTGTAATAATATACTACAGAGTGTTCTATTGAAAATAGTGGAGAATTTCGATGTTGAAAAACTGCATTTTCTTTACTGGCCCGGTATAAATATCAAAAAAATGAGCAACTAACAAAAAAAAAACTTTAGGCCAAGAGAAGTCGAATGGCGCAAACCGCAGGTGGCTAGCATACTTGGTTCAAAAGTTATGAGCATTTGAAATGGGTCACTCTCGGCTGGGACACCCTGTATTATTCAAATTTCAATCACTTAATTATATACTTTCTCACATTTTCCGATCAAAAATTATCCGAAAACTACCCCAATTTTGCTGAAATCGATTCACAATTACCAATTTTAACCTCTTGATAGCCGCCATTTTACAAATGGTCGCCATTTTGCTCCTATGGGTCTGAAGGGGGTCATGCGGGTCAAATCGCTTATAATTGTAAAAAAATTATCTGTACCAAATTTCATGCTTTTATCACAATTTGCAAGATTATTCGACTAACCGCCCCGACTATCCACACGAATTCGGTCGCACGACTTGATCCGATTTCATGCGACCAACGACTGATCCCATTTGAATGGGATTTGACGGACGTTCCCAAACGACTTTCGGTCAGTATTCGCAATTTAGCCAGTACAGGTTTTTATTTCTTTACATATCGTGGATATTTATGGATTGTGAGAAGCTGATGCAGAGCAGATATCATGCTAGAAACGTCCAACGCAAGTTGTGGAAGGACGTTGGGTAAAAAATGGATAGTGTCAAAGTCCATTTTAATCACTCTTATCTAAACACAAAGGCCGCACTTGAACATGCGCTACAAAAATAAAGAAATGAACTATCTATTCTATTTTATTTATCAACCAGAAATCGTTTCTAATGGACGAGGTGCAGTCGTTCACATTCGTACATCAAAGTCGTCCGATTATTCACGACCGCAAAGTCGTACGATTACGCATCCAATGGAAGGCCAGCGATTTTATGGGTGTGCCTGCATTGACAATTGGCCATTGGGTCCATACACAGCCCTCTACACTTACAAGCCATGAAGTTAAAAAGGCAACACCGCAATCTTACCGCCAAGTGGTGCTGTTTTATTTAACCTCAATTCCGCGTATGGTTTATTTACTTTTATTGATGATATGAATTCTTATCTCAATTACATAAAAAAGTAGTTTTCTTTGAAAAAATATTAGTAGTTAGTAAAATTATTGTAATATTACCAATATTTTGTACATATTAAGCACACAAAATGCATCATATTGTACTAAAAAGTAAAAACAGTAATTCAATGAATAATATAAATATTTGTGTAAATAAGAACAGTAAATAATTGATTTAAATAAATATATTACTAGATTCTAAAGTGTTATAATCCTATATCTATTTTATATGTACAAGGTCTTGTCAAACAATTCTATACAACTAGCAACTACCTATCATGTTAAAAAAATAAATACTTTCTAAGAATTCGGGAAAGCTACCCTTAGAACATACCTCTATTATTATTTTTAGTACCTAGGTACATTTTTTTTCTATTTCAAAGTGGTTAGTTTTCTTTTTTTACTTGAATCTGTTTTATTTTTATGACATTCACTATTTTTAAATTTTGTGTAGTTGTTTAAAATAATATTACTCATTATCAAAGAAGCAAAGGAGTAAATTTTTTTTGAGTTAGCACCACATTCACAAATTTTGTTCAAATCAATATTAAAGGTATCGGACTCTAAAGCTAATAAAGTAAGCTGCGATAATAAATTATGATGATCATTTGTTTTCAGGAACATACTTTCAAGATCTTTGTTATTAATTATATACTCGAAGATAGCACAAAGATGAAAATAAATAAACTTGGTTTCTTGAGTGGCAATACAGAGACCCCCTCTCTGCAGAGAATTAAAATATGTATGATCCGTCTGGATGCCTTTTGCTAGAACTACTAAACTTTGACATTTATCACATTTATTATTCTTCAAAACTGATCGAGCCATTCTTTCATAGGTAGATGATGACTGACAAAAAATAATAAGTGAAAACAACATAGTTGGCATGCTATATCTTTTCTTTTTACAATCAAGTAAAAAGAGTTGATTCAATAATATTCCTAATAAGTTTTTGTACTCACAACCTTCATCAAGTTTTTTGATACCTTCTTGAAGATAATACTGAGCTTTTTTAAAACAATAAATTGAATCTAAAGAAATGTCATTAACAAAAGTGTATCGAGTCAATAAATTTTCTATTTGGGACCACCTACTGAGTTTTCTACTACTCGGTAGAATCCACATAAGGTCACTACTTGTAATCTCATTGTCTCCAACAAAAATACTTACCACTAATTCTTGGCTAACACTTACACTGGAAACAATTTTCAAATTTTCAATATCACAGTCATATCCATCACGATCAATATTTAACATATAAAAATGTACAAATGTCGAAGATACTTTACATTGCCATTTATTCAGAGTTATTTTAGTTTCAAGAAGTTTTACAAAATTTTCAAAGCTTGGAATCAGATCACTTTGAAGATAATTTTCTACAGTTTCGGTATGTCTTTTAACAATATCACTTTTTCTAGCTTCAGGATTTTTTCGGATGGTAGGGGCAGGTCTATTTAAATATTTGGGCTGGTTTTCGAAAATATGTGGTACAGCGTTGCTTTTGAGGATTGGACGTTTAAGTTTGTGTTCTCGACTTACTCCTTCTTTATCTTTGTATGTTTCAAATCTAATGATTTCATTTTTTTCAAAATGTTTCGCACACACTACAGAATTTTTTGTTACCGTATAATTATCTCGGTGTATAGCTTTTAGCCATAATTTCTGTAATTCGGAAGTTTTTGGAAATGAAAATGTTGTTTGCAGTTCCTCAGTCTTCAGGGAACTCCTATAGTTGGATTTGCACCTCGGCACACAGCAGTTTCTTGGCATCTGGAACAAGTTTAAATATCTTAGATAATAATAATATCGAGACCTATACATGTGCTCTTGCACTTTGCAAAGTGGAAACAAATATTATATTGTTTTTATTTGCTTTTACCTTAACTCACCTTAATTTTTGCTCCTGTACCGATTGCAGTATTTGCTATAAATTCACAATCAAAACACAACTAATAATGGCATAACAGGTATGAACCAAATATAAACAGTAAGTAAACAATATATTGGTGTTTCTAGCCACTTTTTCGTTTGAAAATGCACCTCACTCTAGCAATAAACAATGAAAACAATACACAGAAACATATAACCTCAATAGCAAAATAGCACCATTCACCATTGGCGACGTTGCCGTTATTTCCAACTTCATGGCTTGTAAGTGTAGAGGGCTGTGGTCCATAGCACCGTCTAGCATTTTTGAATAGCTAGGGCGTCGCATCGGTGTCACACTCACACGGGGTGTGTCATTCCTGAACTCGCCCCTGCTGGTGTTTCAGGTGTTTGTTTACATTCAACGTCATTTACTGCCCCTTGGATTTCAATATAGTATAGCTAGGTAGGTTTACCTGCTTTTATTGAATTGTAAGGAAAAACTAAAAGATTAAAAATTGAGCAAATCTATGCAATTTGCAACTTACGACGACTTCAGTGTGCATTAGTGACCTTCGAAGTTGTTGTGCTCGAGCTCGACCTTGACAATTCGCGATAAGCACTGCAGTGAGACGCGGCTTTGTTTTAGTTTTTGCCATCGTTGCATAAAGTTCCTAATTAGGTGCGTTCCTGCGTACATCTTGGAAATTTTTAAATCGAATTAAATAAGTACCTACCTATAGTAGATACATTTTAGGTATAATTTCACTTTATGACCTGTGAACTTGATAAATACCAAATCTCAATCTGATTGCTTTCCTATTTTCTGGTTTTTAGATTTGTCATTTCGGGTGGGGGGTCGGATCCCCAGCTACGCCACTGCTATTAGGTCTCTTCCAACAAGCCAAAAACCGTCCCATGAACGGTTTTGAAACCTGAGGGGTGTTTCACGATCGGCATTGGTGTACAAATTTACGGCAATAATTACGGCAGTGAGAGTAATGATTTAGGAATTGTGGGCATTGTATGGATAAATAAGGGAAATTGAGGCAGTGATCGCGGAATTGACGGCATTGAATTGATTTCGGAATTGACGGGATTGATGTCAGAATTGATGGCATTGATGTCAGAAATGACGGCATTGATGTCGGAATTGACGGCATTGATGTCGGAATTGACGGCATTGTGTCGGAATTGACGGCATTGATGTTGGCATTCTTGACATTGATGGCGACATTGTTGGCATTGACAGGAATGTTCGCAGCAATCGCCATAGGCAATCACTAGGCAGTGTTATTAAACATTGCCTAACTTAGGCAGTAGTATACACATTTTTGGGTTGGGTAGGTGAAACCACTCCGTATACGAATTTCGGATTCTACGCACAAATGTTGGGCTTTGCGCAGAATCGTGATGGTACATTCGTACGGTTTCCTTGTGTTGGAACAAAGCTATTTCGTCAGAATACGTGAAATCGATAAAAATGCGAGGATGCCGAATTTCTCATTAGTATATCATTCCAAAACATGACTGCGCCGATTCAAAGTATTGTACTTCTGAAATCTGAGCAAGCAACGCTATAAAAAAAAAAAAAGGATAGGAGGTATAATCGGTGAACCTTTGTTTTCTAGTACAATGAACCTAAATGTTTGTCTACACGTTGCCAAATCTTTTAAAAATCTGTATCTCCAAAAGCCATTATTGGCAATAAAGGTGATTAATTCTTACGAGCATTAAAAAAAAATCTAGATTTCAATTTGTACCAAAGTCATAGGAAAAAAAGTGTCATCCATGCTACGGTTGGTTGAATGGACATTTCGCATTTTTAATGTGATATCGGCTTTAGCCAATGAGAGGCAGAAAATGAATTAGTACTACCAAATAATGATAACGTTTTTTTTTTTTCAGTGGAATTAGTAAAAAGAAAATGGAAAAATATCAGAGACGAATATGTGAAATTTGTAGGAGGCCTTTCAAAAGCTAGAAACTATGGGCTAGCATCCCAAATGGAGTTTTTAAACCCCTATTTACACGGAGTTAGTTTGAAAGGAAAGAAAGCACATAAAATCAAACATGAAAAGGCAGATAAAATTAAACATGAATCAGATGTGGAAAATTATTTACCAGATCAATCTCTAGCCAATCCAAAGTCTTCGCCAGATACTTTGAATGGGCTGGATCTGATATTCTTAGGAGTTTCCAATCTGAAAAAAACCTATCCTCAGGATGCTAAAGAATCTCAGGAACCTGCAGAAGCTCTGTGTTCCTTGGACGAGGTAGATCAAACATGTTCACAAATTACCAATGTAATAAAACAATATGCACAATCCAAGCCAAATTTGGTGAACCGCAAAATAAACAATTTTTTTAAGGCGCATGGTATTGATAATGATAATCAAAGTACAAGCGATGGTACAAACATATTACAAATGAAGTTCAACTTTGAGCGTCGGTCGTCCATTGACTGCTGAAGTAAAAAGGGAATAACTTTAATATATTTTTTTTTTCACAATTAGGTCTAATGCTAATGTGTTTCAGATTTAATTTTGATTTTAAAACTTTTATTATGTCTATATTTGATGATTTAGAAATATTTGTTTGTACTTTATTTTGCAAAATATTAATAAACAAATAAATATACTTTATTTGGCACCTGGCTAGTCACTAGATCATACAAATACAGTTCTCATGTCCGGTTAGTTACATATACATACCTATCCATTAAAAACATTGAAACATTATGGTCAAATATACTCATGCTTGGCGCGTTCCTGATGCTCTCGGGCAGTCTCGGGTAAGTCATTAAAAAGGTGAACCCCTTCAAAAACTAATGATTTTTGTAATGCCGTTGAAATAAATACCTAAATATACCTATTCAATTTCTGAAACTGAAACTAAGGAGATAACCGAGTCACAGATTGTGACAATTAAGCTAATTGAGCTAATTCTGCATATTTCTTACAGTTTAACCGATTTGTAATACTTTATTTTTATTTCATTAGTTACTTGTAGATTTTTAGAAATTATGTATGAACTTGACAATCTATGTGATGAACTTTAACAAAATCACAAACCGCACACCCGAAATTTCCCTCCTTGATTAAAAGAAAAGTTGCTGAATGTAAACCGATAACAACAAAAAAAAAAACGGGATATATCAATTCTGGTTATTATTTTATCATCAACCCTTATTTCGGAACACCAGATTTATCAGTTTCAGAAAGTTATTTTAGTCAATACTGTATAATTTATATACAACGTTGCTTTTTGCATTTTTTTCTTTCCATAATAAATTCAGATCATTTTTGCTGAGCTCTACATAAATGTGTCAAAAGGGAATATGTGGGGACCATCTCTTTGAAGGAACCCCATCCCCCATGCAGAATTAATTAGGTTATAGACACATGATAGTTGGATAGTGAAAGTTATTTCAAGCAGACCTGTAAAAAAGTTTGAGAATTTTTAAATAAAATGACGTTCTTTTCTTACATAATCGTTATTTATTTTGACATAATAAATTAAACATAAATATATAACATCACAGTATTAATTTGCTATTAACTATGTGTAAAAGGACAGCGCAAAGCAAATTAGGTCTAGAGCTTTTGGTTATACAATGTATGTATTAACAATTAATTTGGTAGGTAGTTACACAATATTTTTTGTTAAATTATGGATTCAGGTGTATGTACATACAAGGAGGCTTTAAAACACCGTTTGATGCCCATGATTAGATGTTTGGAAGCGAATATTTGATGTCAAGTGAATTACTTTTCTAAAGCTCTGGATCAGTTGCAAATTAACCTATTAGTGTTATAAGTTAATACGGAGTAGGAAGTTGCCATATTTAGATTTTTCCAAAATTGGGAAAATTGTGCATAATCTGGCAACCACGGCAAACATTTACTAATGGGAAATAATTTTATTTATTGTTTATTTATTACAAAATATTGATAAAAGTCTTGCACTACAAAACACTGTAGGTTTTATAGATATACATAGTATAATTATATGCCTAGTATATTGTATTGATTTGAATGGATTTTTTTTTTTAGATTTAGACAAAATACATTTATTCCTTAGTGTCGCTTGAAGGACATTTCTGAGAATCATCTTCATTATGGGCAGCAAACGTTTTAAAATAGAAAACACAAACTTTTCAGGGTAATAATGAAAAAATACAACATTAATTAATTACAACCGCATCATCTATCTATATAATCTTGCTACCAGGATTGCTACCCTATATAGCCCACCTATATTTTTTTCATCATTCATTACGGCTACGGGAAAACTTGCGCCGATGGAACCAACATCGTAAAACACAAGATATTAACGGGAAAAAAGCAGTTCCAGACGCACGATGAGGTGAAGACAACGATGGGTAGTGGTTATGGGCGGTATTATTGGGTGGTGGTGGATGTCGGAGATGGTGGTGATAGGTGGCAACGGAAAGCCGGGCTCAGTTCACCGCTGAAACGTATATCATGCATAAGGATAGATAACATCAATAGATAGTCCATAAACCAACAATAAAGGAAAAACACAGAAAGCTAAGACATCAATAGCAAAATAAACGATAAAGCATGCACAGCAACATTTATAAAGTTGTCATTCATGACACTTGAATGTTGAATAATTTAAGAAATTATAAAAAAAAAACTCTTGGGGGTATTTAAAAAAACTATAAATAATATTTTTGTGAGGAAACATTTGGAATTGCACAAGTGTAGGTTAGTTACAGTGACCATTCAAAATTGTAAAATCAACGTCATGTACCAAGCTTATTAATATCAATATTATTAAAAACAAAACGATTAAAAATGCTTTTAGCAATTATTAGTTCTAGGCAGCGACCTACTTGTCCTAAGAAATCAGCTGGCATTGCTACTCTTATTAGATCTCAACCGTTCAATACCTGAACGCTCTTCCTCCTCATCGCTCGTGTAGGTGGACATGCCACTGACAGCTGCTCTGGTGGAAGTAGCTTGCATTAGTTCCTGATTGGGGGCGTTGCGATTCTCGTAGAGCAGAATGTTTAAAGTCTCTTCGTAGATGCGTGCTTCCGGGCATTCGACTTTAGTGTGTTTTTTGTCAGTGGCGTAAACAATAGAAGTACAACATACTTCAGAAACCTTGAACAAATGTAAGAAATTGGGATTCAGTTGGATCACACATACCTCTATTAATATAAGACAAATTCACCTTTTTGCCGTGTCCATTAAATATCCAACAGCAAATTTCCCCAGTGCTGATTACATCTTTTAAAAACATGACCCGATTACTGTACCACAAAGAAAGTTTGTCAAATAGTTCAATATTTTTCAACAAATTGTCATCGGAAGTAGAGGTGTAGGAGTACTTGTTGTTGTGTCTATTGATGAGCAGTTTGATTGCGGGCTTTGTTGAATTGGAGCTGATCAAAGTTTCTTCTTCTTTCAATGATGTGATTAGAGGAACCTATAGAATGGCATATACAATTACAGCATACAATAATAAAAAATAAGAATGTGTGCCTCCTTTTTTTAGCTGGTTGCTTAAAAACGGCCGGAAAAATATTTTAAAAATAAAGTACAGTAATTTCGATTTCGATTATAATACTGAGATTTGAGAGTGTTATATCTGTACAATGTGAGCATTATGTGGTGTTTTTTGTACATCAAACAAAGCGTGAATATTTTTAACCCACACGATTATTAACATGGTTTGGTTATCCAACTAGAAATACAAGAAAATCTGGTCCCGGAGTACCTACATCTCAAAATAACTGAAGATATCTTGCATTAGGGTTCTTTAATGCTCTCCCAATTAAAATAGGATCACTAAACCTTGCAAGGCGTTTGAAATTGGTCATCACAATTTCCTATCGAATAAATCTAGGTTCTACAATTTCCTCCATCTAGCTTTTAAAGTCGTACCTACCAAACCGGTGTCGAACATTAAAGCATGGCGTAGGCAAGTGTTGTTTGTTTTCACCCTTTCGAGCCCATACTCTACACTGTAGCCTTGAAGGCTTTTTGTGTCTCATTGTATGGACTCTACTCCTTCCCATTCATACTTGGAGATTAGATGATTGGCGGCAGCGCGGGCGATCTACCGTCCCGTACTACTGCGGTCACCCATCCAATCTCCATCCCGACACCACGTTGCTTGGCTTGAGTAGGGCGTCTCAACTCAAAATGTTTATTTAAATAATTCCATATGCTTACAGTTTCAGGGGTTAGGCCCCCCCTCAAACTTAAATACATATAACATTAACTTAAAACTAGGACAGAAAACTTAAAACTAAAACTCCAGTGCGACGCAGCGCACAGTGCCCCAGACACGCCTAGCGTGCTGTGCGGACATGTTTTAGCACGGTCTGATGTTGTGACCAACAAGCCCCTGTCCTATCCTTGCTTGATACTGATTCGCAGCGTTACCTGGTCTCCCTTAGACGCTGTTTTAATGACCCTAGGGTCGCTGACGACTACCACGGTATGGTAAGCATTTGGCCATTACACTGGCCTACCAGATGATGTGGGTGGATGCCGGAGTATGGAGTGCAGAACGCGCAGCGCCCGTCGTGTGGGGATAAAATAGGTTAAAAACCCCACTTCTAATTAACTTAATATTATTTAACAGAAAAACAAAAAAGTTGTGCCCTTATGGGCGGTTTGGTCCTGGGGACGCGCTCTCAACAGCAAAAGCTGAGCTCTAGGGGTAGGTGTTTTAAGGGTTGTCAGAGAATGAGGGTTGGGAGGATTGGGTGCAAGAATTTACCGGGATTAGGATGAGGATTTATCAGCTAAATTGGGCAATTTTTGCCTATAATTGTTGGTCGAATTGGGGGTGTTTTGATGGTAATTAGACCAAGTGCGTTTCCTCATAGTCAGCGAAAGAGGAGTTTGCTATACACTAGTTCGCCAGCCAGTTGGAATTTTCTGAAGAACTGAGAGTTGAAATTAGACCTAATGACTGGATTTGCCAGAGTCTCCTGCTTTAGACTAGGGCTGTTGGCGCCTGCACCAAATCTCTCTCGTCTAATTTTGTCTCAACGATTGGATTTTAGCTGTACATGGATGGGTTGTTTAGTAGGGCGTCTTGTGTCCTTTATCAAGCGCCATCGTGCCGATTTGTAGGGAAGTGTTATCAGCAGAAAGGTAATAGGATTGGGTCCTTAATAATTGACCTTTATAGTACAACCACATTTATACCTTTCTGTTTTCTGAGGGAAGTGTTATCAGCAGAAAGGTATAAATGGGGTTGTACTATAAAGGTCAATTATTAAGGAACCAATCCTATTAGCATTTTTCAATGATTCGCTGGTGAGTCACGCGACAATAGAATATAAGTATAGTATTTTTAATCCGACTTGAAACACTAAAAAACATCTAGTAAGCATACATCAAAAAAATAAAGGACATGGGCGTCACATAATTTTTATTTCTTTAAATGGTGATAATCAATATCAATCAACACAACTAAATAATACGTGGAATAAAACAGCAAATAATGAATGAATTGGGATGACACTGATTATAGAAATCGCGTAGTCTAGTCAGTAGGTTTATCTACATCATTTACTGTATTCCTTTTACCCGTTGAGTTACTCGGAGCTGCCCAATGTCAAAAGTGCGTTAAGCTCATAGTGCATCCCCCTTTCCCCTGATGCACCAAATTTGCGGGGGGTGCAAGAAGCCCTTTTAGGTAATGACGGTAATGTTATTATTAAAAAATAATGGTAAAATCTGAATTGTGTGTTTTTGAGTGACTCCGAAGAGCTCATTCGGTGTAACTCGATGTATAAAAGGAATACAGTAATTCCCGGGAAGACATAAGTAGCCCACCCCAATAATTGAACCTATAGGTGCGTGCCGACCTAAATTATTATTTTGGGCTACTGTAGCGATATTTCGTCGCTGCTTATATTTTGTACAGGGAAACTTACAATAGATTTTCTATGGAATTAAAAGAAGAACATCACGTCGCTGATGTTGAAATATCCTCGTATAATGCAATGTTTTAAGTCAGAATAAAAATACTTTACCCTATTTGCTGATAACGCAAACAGTGCAGTGACAGGTACGTACTTGAATCGTTTTTGAGAACAGAGGTCTGGATCAAATAAAATAAGCTATCATTAAATTAAGGCTATGGTCTGAATATAACCAAACGTTAGCCAAAGTAACCGAATATGAAAAAAATAAAATAATAATCTACAGAAATTACAGATAAAACCAACAGAACGGACATCCGATGGCCGGTAACTATTTTGACATTTAGTTAACCAGATTTCAGGAAACCAAGGTCTAGAAGTATCCACTTTTCTAGGAATCAGAGTAATTTGATTAGGTACTTTCGGGCCGCGAAACCACAACCCTGGTTATATTCGGACCACAGCCTGAATATGAAATAAAACTAAAAAAAAAATCCACACTGGCCACACGGCTCCCATGCTGGTCATGAGGAGCTGGAATTAAGATTTCTAGATGTCACTTTGAACACAAAGATGCTGGATTCCGTCAGAGAGATTAAGTGGCAAACAAACTATCACAAGTTTCAAGTGTGTATATCGTAAGAAACCTCTTATGATCTGTTTCTTGGGTTACTCTCAGGACTGCTCACTCTGCTAGATTTCACTGCTGCATTGTACATACTAACACTTAATTCTGGTTTGGGCATACCTGTCGGAAGTCTATGTATTTCACAGTATTTCATTCATTTAAAGAGATTGTAACTTTTAATAGGATTTGACAGATTTTCAAATTTAATTTCAATTTAAAATTGATGTGTTATATAAGCCGCTTTCCAGCTGACGCTTTTGAGCACGCAATCGAGCTTTTGAGCACGCAATCGAGCTTTTGCGCACGCAAATGCTTCAAGTGCGTGTTCCTGTTCCAGCCGTACTGCGCTTCGAGTGCTGCTAGCTTTTGCATTTCTAACACAGAACATTTTTCATTCAAATTTGGTGTTTTTTAGCACCGTACTTGAAGCACACAGCTGGAAAGCGGCTTCAAGCATACAAAACACGATTGAATGATTTTAATTCAAATTACATTATGAATACCTTTGTTGAGTTGTTTAATCTGGTTCTGTAAGGTTTTTTATTTTTTAAATTAGAAAATTTCTGACTTACCATGCATATTGGATTATATTCTTCTCTCTCTTTTTTCTGTAAAGCTTTGTTGCAAGATTCAGCTAGTTCTTGGATGCAGTAGTATTTAGCTTCTGCTAAAAGTTCTGCAGTTTCTCTACTCGAATCCGGTAAAGACACACTGCTGTCTCTCAGAAAATTCAAAATTGTGCCAAAATGTTTGCCACATCTATCAATAAGTATCCAACCTAAAAAAAAAATTTGGTCCATATAAGTAAGACTTCAATGCAACAGACAACTCAATTTTTTTGGAAAAGAAAGCTACATAATTTGTATTAGACAATTTTTTTAGGAATCAGGTATTTTTAAGTGAATAAGGTGCTGTGTAGGGAAAAAAAGAGTAGCAGTGGAAGAGAGAAAAGTGTGTATTTTTTCATAGAAATAACATTTTGGTATAATGCTTTAGTAATGTAATAAATAAAAGTAAGAAAACTACATTTGGGAGCTTGTAATTAGCGGCCAGTTGACAAACTCCAGTCCAACCACACATAAGTCAATCAAACTATCCAAATTTGATCTGGGAGGTTAGTTTTGGTGCAAATAATAAAACCATTTTCACGCTTATGGTCATATACCTAATACTTGAAATTTAAATTATTTCCAAATCTAACAAATTTTGTTAATGTTTTGGAACCATTTTAATTCAGTCTTGAAGCCAAAAGGTTTTTTCCGAAATATTTTGACATGCAAAATTAATTGTAAAAAAAAGGAATTGCAGAGGTCGGTGAAACAATTTATCAATAACAGCTTGAAAATGTCAACACTTTTTTTTGCAGATGATTTTAAAGCATATAGAATCATAAATTGTATGGATGATCAACGGCTTTTGCAGGACGATCTTGACAGGCTGACGGGCTGGTGCACAGACAACAAGCTTTATCTGAATGTCAACAAATGTTGTTTTATTAGTTTTTTCAAAGGCAAGAAAAAATTTGACACTTCCTATACATTAAATGGCGAAACTCTGACTTATGTCTCCAAGGTTAAAGATTTGGGGGTATTATTTGATGAAAGTTTGAGTTTTGTAGGTCACATTCACAATCTCACAGTGAGTTCGTCTAAACTATTGGGTTTTGTTTTAAGACACTGTAAAAACTTTTCACTTGAAACTGCTAGGAGTGTCTATTGTTCTTTGGTGCGTTCGAAGCTGGAATATGCTTCAGTAGTATGGTCACCATATCATGCAGTTCACAAAGCAACTATTGAACAGATTCAGCACAAATTTCTAAGACATTGTGCATTCAGATTAGGACTTGTGATTGTTGATCATGATTATGCTGCCATTGAAAATCAGCTGAAAGTGAAAACCCTTTCTAACCGGAGAAACTCTGCTGGAATGATTTTTGTTTGCAAGTTGGTCAATGGTATGATTGATTCTGCTGATCTCCTGCTATGCATAAATATAGACACACCGACTAGAAATAGAAGAGGCGATTTTGTGTCTTTTAACATTCCCTATCATCGTACTAACTATGGTCAAAACTCACCAATAGATAGATATTGTAAGTTAATTAATTATTATCACATAGAAATATTTGGTTTAACTTTGTCTCAATTTCGAAATCATTTGTATAGGATTACTTTTTAGTATGTAAATGAAACTCTGAAGTGATACATATTTTTAGATTTAATTCATAACAATCTAGAGTCATAACCATTTTTGTTGTATATTATAACTATTAATGGGGGTTACCCGTAAATAAATAAATAAAATAAAACACTGAGTTCAGTAGGTCTATTAACCCAGCAGTCCCATGGTAGAAAAAAACTTCTATATAAAAATTAGGTGCTCTTTGGGTACTAATTAGTGCCTCTAAATAAAAATAAAAATGAGGTGCTCCTTTAGTTTTTTAGAAAATCCAAAAAAGAACGAAGGGACTGCTATGTTTATGAAAGCTAGCAGTCCCCTTTAGTATTTTTTTTTCTTTGGTATCAGAATTAGGTGATTCACGTGGTGCAGAGCGAGAAACAAACACTACATTATCGGGGCAGACGCCAACGCCCATCACCAGGTAGGATGGGGAAGCACCGATACAAACGTAAGGGGTGAGTACCTTTTTGAATACTTGAACTCTAACAACATAGACATTATCAACAAAGGTAACAAACCCACTTTCATTAACGCCGTCAGACAAGAGGTCTTAGACGTGACTCTAGCTGACACATTTACATCTAACACAATAACCAACTGGCTTGTGTCAAATGAACCCTCCCTGTCGGACCATCAAGCAATAAGGTTTGACTTAGAGGCAGTAATAAATCACTCAGTACAGACGAGAATCCCAAAACTCACCAACTGGGTATCCTATGTGGAAGGTCTCTGCCTGAGTCTAGATAAACTCCCTTCTGACATAAATACAATAGAAGAGCTAGAGGCATCATCTGACAATCTAACAAATGCAATCAAGGACTCCTATGAGAACAGTTGTCCCGTAAAACAGAAGGCAGTCCACAGGGATGTGCCTTGGTGGAACGGGCAGCTGAGACGTCTGAAACAAGATACTAGAAAACTGTTCAACAAGGCAAAAACTAACGGCAACTGGGCAGACTATAGAACAGCCCTAGACAAGTACAACTGTGAACTAAGAAAATCAAAAAGGAAATCATGGAGACAATTCTGCGAGGGGATAGACGAATTAGCCCCAGCTCAACGTCTCCAAAAAGTTCTTTCAAAAAACCACTCAAACGGAATTGGTCTGCTTAAAAAGCCAAACGGAGAACACTGTACCGACCATATAGAAAGTCTAGAGGTACTACTACAAACTCACTTTCCAGGGTCGGTAATCGTTGAAGCCCTGAACCAGGTCACTCCGCCTATAGAAGGGTCACAAAGCCCTAACGGCAGGAGCAAAAGGCTGGCTGGGAAAATCTTCACAATGAACAGAATAAAATGGGCGATTGATAGCTTCAGACCCTACAAATCTCAAGGCAAAGACGGGATTTTTCCCGCACAACTGCAAAAAGGCTACGAGTACTTAAAAGTACACCTACAAAAGCTTTTTAAGGCAAGCCTGCTCCTAGGGCACATACCGCTATCTTGGAGGAAAGCTAATGTGATATTCATACCAAAAACGGGTCGAACTCTATTGAGAAGACCGCTGTACTCGGAGCAATTTGCTTATCAGCCAGGCAAATCCACAATAAGTGCGTTACACTGCCTAGTTAAAGACATTGAAGGGACAATCGAGTGCAAAGAGATTGCTCTCACAGCCTTCATCAACATAGAGGGTGCTTTTGACAACACCTCACATCAATCAATTGCCAGAGCATAACAAGAATGGGATGTTGAGGTCCTACTTGTAAAATGGATAGAGTCGATGCTGAAACACCGTTACGTTACGGCTAAAATAAACGGAGCATCAGCTACCGCTACCACGGTCAGAGGGTGTCCTCAAAGGGGTGTTCTTTCCCCACTACTATGGACACTGGTGGTAGACAAAATTCTTACCAGACTGAGTAGTGCTGGATACCAGGTCATAGGTTACGCAGATGACCTAGCCATTGTAATCAAGGGCAAACATGAAGGTATAGTGACAAGCCGAATGCAAAGTGCCCTAAACATCGTTAGAAATTGGAGCGAAGGCGAAGGACTATCCCTAAACGCAAACAAAACAATCCTTGTCCCGTTCACAAGAAGAAGGAAGCCAAATTTGAAAGCCCCGACCCTTAACGGTACACAACTAACATTTTCCAACGAAGTGAAGTACTTAGGGGTCACCCTGGACCGAACCCTCACTTGGAACAAACAGTTAGAGAAAACATGCTCTCGAGCTACATCAGCCATTTGGTCATGCCGAAAACTTGTTGGCAAAACATGGGGGCTAAAGCCAAAGATGGTATTCTGGATCTACCAAACCATAATAAAGCCCATGGTCACATACGCCTCATTGGTGTGGTGGCCCAAAACCCAACAAGTCACCGCTCAGATTAAGCTAAGAAAGGTGCAAAGGCTGATATGTCTAGGAATAACGGGAGCAATGTCAACTTGCCCCACCGCAGCCCTAGAGACGCTACTCAACATGCCCCCACTTCACCTATGTGTGAAAAAGGAGGCAATATCCAGCGCTCACAGGCTATTCCAAATAGAGAAGTTCAAGCCTGGCGATCTGAGGGGACATCTGAGAATCCTTGATCTAATAAAACTGGAGAATGCCAGCAAACCAACTGACCACATGATGGTCAGATTGGACTTAGAGATCCCCTTCGCAGTGGTAATAAATGACCGCCAATCATGGGAGAATAATACCACAAGCAGACAATGCATCTCTGTGGTACACAGATGGATCCAAGCTAATGGAAGGAGCTGGACTGGGCATTTCCGGCCCTAACTTCAAGCTCTCCAAGGCATTGGGTAAACATCTTACAATATTTCGAGCCGAACTGCTTGCCATAGATATATGTGCACAAGAGTGTCTTAACCAAAGCCTCAAAAGAAAACACATCTTCATACTATCGGACAGCCAGGCTGCCTTAAAAGCCTTAAGGGCTTTCAATTGCACATCAAAACTAGTCTGGAAGTGTAAACAGACCCTAACACTAGCGACACATAACCAGGGCCGAGTTCGTTTTTGTCATCTTTTTCGTCGATTTGCTCCGAAATTTTGACAGGCACGTGACTGGATGAGACAGTTCAGTTTATAAATCACGTGCCTGTCAAAATTTCGGAGCAAATCGACGAAAAAGACGACAAAAACAAACTCGGTACAGGTAACGCTGATGTGGCTGCCTGGTCATCGAGGCATAGAAGGAAACGAAGAAGCAGATGGCCTCGCAAAGGAAGGGGCCTCAACACCATACCATGGACCAGAGCCCTACTGTGGCTTAATGAAAAGCCACATCATGGAAGAACTCAATAAATGGGAGAAAGAACAACTGTCATCATATTGGAGGCACACGCCGGGACTCAGACAGTCAAAAAGGTTTATTACCCTTTCAGCAAAAAAAGCTGAACAGCTCCTAAACATGAGCAGACCAGACATCAGATTGGTGGTGGGACTGCTCACAGGACACTGCCCAGTAAAATACCATTTAAAGTTAATGGGCAGAGTGGAAGACGATCTCTGCAGATTCTGCTCAGACGCAATAGAAACCGCAGAGCACCTGCTCTGCGAATGTCCAGCCCAATTCTGCAAGAGGCTTAAATTCCTCTAGGGGGCAACACTGTCACCAGAAGAAGTTGGCCAACTGA